CCCCCCCCCCCCCCCTCCACCCCAAATACGGGCGTTGTATAGCACAAAAAAGAGTTCTAAAGAGCGTAAAGCTTACATCAGTATTTGAGGTTTATCTTCTCAAATATTAATTTATTTATATCAAATGGCAGGCATCTTGATGGTTACCATTAGCCCTTTAGTTGACTTCAGGCTTCACAGAGGGGAGGAGAAACATCAAAGTGACAAAAAGTCGAGATTTGGGGGGGGGGGGGGAACAGAAGAGTGTTTTAAAGACAAAGACCTAAAAGATAGAAAAGGTGAGGTGAGAACTGTGGAAGTGGTCGAAAATGACATACGGTGGGGTGATGGTAGTTTGAAGTCAGAAGTCAACCGTTGATTAATAGACTTTTTGCCGTATGAGTATACGTTGCCCAGGGTGCTCCACGTGGAGGTAAGTCTATCGCACACCCCTTATCTTCTTAAATAAAATTCAAGTTTGCTTACTCTTTAATATAAGCAGATTAAAGTGAATAGCGCTAAGAGGTATAATCTCATAAAAGATAACGTTTCCAAGATTAAAGGAATATCTTTTTGCGTAGGCGAAACTCAAAAGTGCATCGAGCATCTTTAATTTTTCATATTATAGCCTTATTAGACTCTAAATTGGCCAAATGCTTCAGAAATAAATAGAGCGTAAAGGTACTTAAATAAGACATCAAGCCAAAGTTATGCGAATCGGCACATTTTGACCAATTGACATACATTTAATGAATAATTTGCATCATTTTGTTTTCGCTAAAAACTGATTAGTTTTAGAAAAAAATCGCAAAAAAATATCTCTTGAAGCATTTCGTTCAATTTAATCTCTACTCCAGTAGACTTTTGGCTCTCACATCCTTGAGTGCTTTCCGGATCTCCCTGACATTCCTACTGCCACCCACTGATTCCATCTCATTTCAGGGAGACTTGCTTCCCATCGTTTGAAGTTTCCACTCACTTGACTTGGGGCCCATCTTTGCCCAAGCATTAAGTAGTCGGTAATTAATCTTCAGACCACAGGTAAAGACTCTCATGCCATTAGGTGGGTGGCTCCTATCCAATTAGTGATGGTAGTGGACACACCATTCTCGATATTCCTTCAACTGGAAGTGACTCTGCTGTAGAATGGCTATTGTGGCAGCTTGTTGTAGAATCTGGTTGTGCTAACACCTTTTTGCTTCTTTTCACGTACACCTTATTATACAGGGTGGAGATAACAAAGAGCCCTATTGGAAACGAAGAGTAAACTTCTATCAAGTGGCAGGCGTCTTGATGGTTATCATTAGCCCTTTAGTTGAGTCACTCAATGCCATAACATTTATTTATTTCAAAATATATATATATATATTTATTTATTTCAAGTGGCAGGCGTCTTGATGGTTATCATTAGCCCTTTAGTTGACTTCAGGAGGGAAGATGGAAAGGAACATCAAATTGAAAAAAAGTCAAGAGGGGTGGGGGGAACAGAAGAGTATTTCAAAGATGTAAGAGACAAACACAAAGGTAGAACAAAGGTGAGGTGAGTACTGTGAAATAGTCGGATATGGCATAGAGTGAAGTGATGGTATTTTGACGTGAGAAGTCAACTGCCAGTTAATAGACTTTTTTGTCGTATGAATATACGTTGCCCAGGGTGCACCACGAGGAGGTAAGTCTATCGCACACCCCCACGAAGAGAAAACTCAGAGAAGTGGTGGGGGGGGGGGAGGCAGATGGATTGTCATGAATGTGAAAGTCCCTGCTGTGGCGTGATTCGTGATTCTACGAATATAGGGTTTTATACTTAAGGATTGAAGATGAATAGTGAATATACAGCCTTAACGTGCATCCATGATCGAATTTACAAAATTTAATGCAACCTGATAAGGTTACTGTTATTCGATTGTAGGCAATGCGTCTCACGTTTGTTTTCAAGTAACTAAGTTAATCCTCAACTGACGGTAGGAAAAGTGAGAAGGTTGATGGCAATACAAACTGGTCATATTTGCAATGAATGGTGTAAGTACAACTCTTTGTCTAGATCACAAGAGTGGGAAGTAATTAATGAAACAGCATGACGTGACCCGACTCAGGAAAGTCTGGTTTTAATGGTCTTTTAGCTCATTTTAAGCCGAGAGACGAGTCGTTACGTACTTGGAGATGAGTCAGGTACATATGATTAAAATTTATGAAAGACTGTCATAAGTTGACCAATTTTGTCACAGTTGAGGCGATTTTGTCTTGACAAGCCGAGAAGAACATATATATTCAGTGAAGCAGATACATTCTGATTTTGGGTCTTATTCGCATATTTCATGATTCTGCTTGAAGCGAATAGTTGTGTGTCCTCTATTGAAGACAGGAGAGATACCATATTGTAATAATAATATTTTTACTGTGTGAGAAACCCAAGTCTATTCTAACCTGGTTGATTTTCACTGTACTATTTATACGGCAGAAAATTCCGCCCCTTTTCCAACTTAATACCTCTTTACTCTTGCTTAGGTAGGCTACTAACTCCAATATTTGGATAACCAGGGGTATACGGCAGATTGACCTCCACGCAATGCAGCCTGAGCGACGTATACACATACGGCAAAGAAGTTTGTAAACCGATAGCTGACTTCAAACTACTATATCCCCGACTCTATGCCAAACTCGAAAATCTTCATTTTCTCCACCCTTGTGCCTATCTGTCTCTCTCTTTTGCAGAGCCATTTATTTTGTGACTTTGTTCCTCCTCTCTGTAAAACCCCCAAGTCAACTAAAGGCCTGATGATAACAATCATAAAGCCTGTCATTTGATACAAATAAATATTTGGCAAACCTTTGTAGCAAAAAAAACCTCAAAGAGCACCATAGAAGATGATAGTTGGGATCGGAGACGGTGTATTATTACATAGTAGAGAAAATAGACACACTCAAAGGGGAGGTGGGGGGGGGGGGGGGGGGGGGGGAGGAGTAGACAAGAGGAGACAGAAGGAGGAGGGAGGGAGGGAGTGAGTGAAGAAGGAAAAGGAGGGTAGGTACACGGAGAAGGGGGAGAGAGAGAGTGTGTGAGAGAGCAATTAAAAATAGTAATCTTGTACTCGTCGAAGTAAAATTAGTCCAGCGCCATATATTTACAAGTAGAATGTAACGACGGATTGTGGTCTAAAAAGAAGGAAGGGACGTTTTGGCTCATCTATGTTATTTTACAGACGTGAGAACGACCTAAAGGAGAAAAATCTCTGCATTAAACACTCCTGCGGGTGGGGTTCAAATCACTTTTCAGAATGTTGACTTACGGATAATTGTCCAAGTCAACCTTGCTTTCTAATGACTTCGACCTGTGATAAAGGAGACAAACGAATTTAACATTGTGCTTAGCCTAAAAGACGCTGGTCTAAATGTTTTGGTGAAGGAAATGATTTTGGTCAACGGAAAGTTTGATGAGCCAATGACTTTCAAAATGAAGAACATCCATGAAAATAGTAAAAAATGCGGGATTATGTTTAATTCTTCCTAATCAAACAGGTTTGAAATGAAGTACTTTCCGAATACAGAGTCTACAAAGTAAAACTAAAGTTTGGATATAGAAACTGACTTTGATTTTATATTAGCTTTTAAAAACAGTTCTGTAATTTGACGCCTCATTGCAGATCTCGTTTATCTAGTTCACTAGAAGCATGCAGACAGGAATGATTTTCTTTGGATAGGCCACAGGAAAACTGCCGAATTAGTATGAAAATTTGAATATCTACAGTAAAATGTCATTTCAAATCAAAAGGATATCACTTTGTGAGTTACTGAGACTAGGCCTAAATAAACTCGCATTTTAGCTCTAATTATCAGCTATACTACTATTCGATAACAATGGCTATTTTTTTAATATAATACAAATTAGATTAACAGAATTTTGTTAGACTAATAAATAAAGCACTCATATTTAATGAACTGTATAAACTGCTAGATAGTTATCTTACAAAGTTTTTTTCCCCAGTGAAGTCTACTGTTAATGCGGTTACGGATTTTATTGATTTCCAGGATTAATAATCAATAATCAATAAAGTAATAAACTGATGCCACAACTTACCTTTTTGAATACCTTTACCTTGAGGAGTTTTGACTTCTTTTACGAGCTAAAATTAGACAAAGTATGGGCAACGATTTTTTTGGGGGG